TTTGGTTGTTGGGCCAAGTGGCCAGATCTAGTACAGTGGTTCCCAGTCCGGCCAGTGATAGTTTGGTGATTTGGCCAAGTGGCCAGATCTAGTACAGCGGTTCCCAGTCTAGTCAGTGATAGTTTGGTGGTTTGGCCAAGTGACCAGATCTAGTACAGTGGTTCCCAGTCTAGCCAGTGATAGTTTGGTGGTTTGGCCAAGTGGCCAGATCTAGTACAGCGGTTCCCTGTCTAGCCAGTGATAGTTTGGTGGTTGGGCCAAGTGGCCAGATCTAGTACAGCGGCTACCAGTTTAGCCAGTGATAGTTTGGTGGTTTGGCCAAGTGGCCAGATCTAGTACAGCGGCTACCAGTTTAGCCAGTGATAGTTTGGTGGTTTGGCCAAGTGGCCAGATCTAGTACAGCGGCTACCAGTTTAGCCAGTGATAGTTTGGTGGTTTGGCCAAGTGGCCAGATCTAGTACAGCGGCTACCAGTTTAGCCAGTGATAGTTTGGTGGTTTGGCCAAGTGGCCAGATCTAGTACAGCGGCTACCAGTTTAGCCAGTGATGGTTTGGTGGTTTGGACGCGGAACACATCACATATATTTTTCCCGTGTACTTATTACGAGCCATTAATCGGATGTTCTTAATAAGTATTAATTAATCTTATGTGATCTAAACTTTTAGTTGAAAATTTTTTAAACGACAAACTACTGTTTTTTTTCAAATAAATAAACCTAAAAAGTTTAAATACAAATATACAAACAAGATAGGATCGCCATCTTTAAATACGATGTTCAAAAAGTTAAAGAATGTATGCAACATTATACTTTCTGCGCGGCACTCATTTACAAGAAATAAACGTAAAAAATAAAAACAAATTGGAAAGATTTCCAGTGAGTGTTTTGTTATGGTTTTGGTGCCAACAAAAAACAGCTTAAATATCACTTAAATAAAATTACGTGTATTAGTTCGAGCATCTCATAATCTCTAAATCTTTTAAGTCGCTGGAAAAATTATTTCTAAATGTTTTTCACGTAGCGCCATTAAACACATTTAAATAAAACCGTTAGTCTGAAGACCTTTTGATGCTAGCCTTTAAGTCCTCGCCTATCATGGGACGCATGAATTAAACATCCACTTTGCTGGCGTATAAATACAACACCTCACACGCTGATCCTGTATATGATTGGTGAACACATCTTCTCATGTGCTCCTATCAAAATTCATGAGCTATGAATAACTAATAATGATAATATAATTTCTTTTTTTTAAATAACGTATTCTGGTACGTTATGAGATCAAGATGACTGGGATCAAGATGATTAAGAATAAGATGACTGAGGTCAAGATGGCTGGGTTCAAGATGGCTGAGAATAAGATGACTGAGAATAAGATGACTGAGGTCAATGATATTGAATGCTTTGGTCTTGTCTCAATTATCCCCTTTCGGCTCTCCAATTGTTTGTATGCTCCCTTCTCCCCGCACCAATGTATGTATGCCCTCCTCCCCACACCAATTTGTGTATGCCCCCTTCTCCCCACACCAATGTATGTATGCCCTCCTCCCCACACCAATTTGTGTATGCCCCCTTCTCCCCACACCAATGTATGTATGCCCCCTCCTCCCCACACCAGTTTGTGTATGCCCGCACCTCCCCACACCAATTGGTGTATACCCCTCCCCACACCAATTTGTGTATGCCCCTCCTCCCCATACCAATGTGTGTATGACCCCTCCTCCCCACACCAATGTATGTATGCCCCTCCTCCTCACACCAATGGTGTATGCCCCCTCCTCCCCACACCAATTGGTGTATGCGCCCTCCTCCCCACACCAATGTATGTATGCCCCTCCTCCCCACACCAATGTATGTATGCCCCCTTCTTCCCACACCAAAGTATGTATGTTCCCTTCCCCCCATACCAATGTCCGTATGCCCCTACCTCCCCACATCAATGTATGTATGCCCCCTCCACCCCACACCAATTTGTGTATACCCCCTCCCCACAACAGTTTGTGTATGCCCCTATCTCCTCACACCAATGTATGTATGCCACCTCTTCCCCACACCAATTTGTGTATGCCCCTCCTCCCCACACCAATTTGTGTATGCCCCCCTACCCCACAGCAATCGGCATGGTATCCGAAGATTGTCTTGTTTGATTGAGACGGCCAAACATTCCGGATGTAATGCCGGATTGATTGATGTGTCCGATGGCCCAGTTATCTTAACGACTTTCCTGACCCAAGCTCTAAGCCAGCAGGAGACGGAATTATTTCATTCTGATATTGTTGTTTTAGTAAGAGACATAATGAGCACCATTTACATAGGATTGATACGATGCATTAGAAAAAGAAAAACTAACGAGAGGATTTATATCTAAAGCTATTTTCTTAAGGGGCGGTAAAATGCGAGGGGTGATTGAAGACATATTGCGAAGTAATGTAATATTTAATTGGTATTAATTAAGGCACAGAGAGCCAAGATAACAAGCCACTAAACGTGCTATTCCTTATCTACAAATCCGTGTCTACAATAGCAGTTAAACGCTGAACTCTAAAATACCTGAATATATATATTTTCTCACCATCTATGTTTTTACAATTATTAGCTAATCCATGTAGCCTACTTAATTAAATATAATTTAATTTTTCTAGAACTTAAGTAACCGTCAACTTGCTTTTCAGAGAATTGTTAGTTTAATAATATAATGTCGCTACTGTGAGAAGTATCTTATTTTTTTTATATAACACACATTTCATGCAGTTTCAACATAGACACAACCCAACTACGTCACTTCCTCTCAGAAGTCCAGTTGTCTCTCAACATAGACACAACCCAACTACGTCACTTCCTCTCAGAAGTCCAGTTGTCTCTCAACATGCTTTACGCTCTTGACTTGATATCACTCACTTTCGAAACAGCATCCACCCCTACCCTCATTGTGTCTTATAATTATTCTATTTATATATTTTAAATATTTCTGTGGATAATTGCAACTACCATTTTTTAAGCTAGATCTGTACACCTGCCGTTTATAAACCTAACCTAAAAATCACCACACACTCACAAAATCCTTTACACTTTGAAGATGTTACCATCAACTTCGCTTCGTCGTAGAAACATTCACCGATTAAAATAATTAATCTACTCTACTCGACTTTAATTAATTTTACGCTCTTAATTTAGTATTTAATGGATGCTGACAGTTTTTTTTTAAACGTGTCAATCGTTTTTTATTAACAGCCATGGAAGTGACTTTAAAATCTTGCGGTAACTAGGTGCTTGGGTCTGGCGTGTCGACTGGTTTAGCCTATGTTACGTGCGGCGGGTAACTAGTTTTACCTGAATTTTAATCTCCGCGCCGTTTTTATCAAGTGCACTATAAATATTTCTGATTAACTCTGATAATTAAATCCATTTTTTGCCAATTATCCTGTCAGGTTTAGTTAAGATGAGATAGAAAATCTAGTCGAAGCCAACAGTTAAAGAGAACTAGTGAGGATCTTGCTAAAAGAATCTTTGGGACATTAAATTTCTCTCCCTGAGAAGACTGCAATAATAGTTCAGGAATTTTTTTTTAATAAATTAATTTGAATTTACTAATTAACATAATGAATATTTCGCATTGGAACTTAAGATTATAATTAAATGTATAAACGGGATAAGGTACTAAAATTTCAAATTATAATGACTGTATCCTGTATCTACATCTCATCTTAAAGGTAACCATACTTTGACAAAGATCTCTAGTCATAAACCTACCTGAATCTAACTCAAACACCCCCCCCACACACACACCCTTGTCCTGGTAATGTATCTGCTTTGGTCTAACATGAAATATACACCCTACCTTATCTCCTAATAAGGTCCTGATCACGTTTATAACTACTGCTGGTGAAATGACCACTTTTCCAATAAATCAATACTGACCCGATATGGATTATTCCCCAGGTCCCATAAAAAGTGACATTTACTGCCCCTATACGTCGGGTCTCAACACTCTCATCCCAACTACCGACATCCCATATTTTCTTTTTTTCATTAATCACTCGCTTTTCTTTCGGCGACATCCGGGTTTTGTGGATCTAAAAATAGCGGGCTGTCTTCGAACACTTCCGGTGATTTAAGCTATATTTATTCTTTCTGTATCCCTGTTTCCTTCTGCGCTAGACTTCCTCTAACTCAATCTCCAGTTTTTCTTTTAGAAATAAAATTATCTCCTAAAACAGATTTCCAGTTTTCCGGCATATGTCTACCCATGAAAGGCAACATGTTGAATCATCGACAAATTCGGGAGATAAAAAAATGTCAAGACATCGTGTAATAAGCATGATTTTAAGCCTAAATATATAGACCTTTCAGCAAAACAAATTTCACAAATTTCAAAGTTTGCGTGCTATGTTTATACGCATCTTGTATTTTACTTGTATAAAAGGGGACAACTTTTTACACCTCGCCGCCAGCATATTAAAGAAAAACGCCGAAGAAAGAACTGGATTTGTTTCACAATACCTTTCAAAGACCATGTTTTCGCCTGTCCACTTCATTAGTCTCCACTTTCAGACAACGACTTTGTGTGTATTTACTGCGCTGTATATGGCCTGTCGGTTAGTTTCAGGGACGCCTGCCAATTTACTTTTCGATATATTTTACTGATAGAGATAGATAATAAAATATCTAGGCCTACTCAACTAAAATGTCAAACAGCGAAAAATATTTTGTATAAAACACGCAAGCTAAAAATAGTATACGTTCATGTTCTGGAGTGTATTGAGAAAATTAAAATTAATTGTGATTTTAACCTTTATAAAACGTTTCAGTTAAGCGCAAGGGCTTAAATCAAAATAATCCTTTGTTTTGTGCAAGTACAATTATATGCAAGCTGAGCTTTCTAAAAAGCCAAACCTGTGTCCATAACACCATCATACACACCAGCATAAGCGAGCTTAGCTCCATACAACGTGTCTCTTGCCTATTAGACCAATGTAAACACTAACTCTATTATCTCTTACAGAGGGCCGCCATGTTGGTTACCACGAACTGAAGCGCCATCTAAGTGTGTCTCCTGTGGTGTCAGTCAACCAGAGGTCTAACACCATGGACACCATGAACACCATGAACACCACGACACTCACGCCATCTAGTCCTCTTAGCCTGGACCCTGAAAGGTAACTCAAATCATCTAACTTTGTCTTGGTCCATGAAATGTTACATGAAAGGTAACTCAAATCATCTAGCTTTGTCTTGGTTCATGAAATGTTACATGAAAGGTAACTCAAATCATCTCGCTACAACTTGGTCCATGAAATGTTAGTGACATATTGAAGGTGTGTTATTAACGTGTCTGGGAAAGTTCGATGGTTCAATCATTGGACTTGATCTCTTGATCAGGAACACCTGAGGTGTCGGATGATTATACAAACTTTAACTCAAACTTTTAATAGACTTGGAAATTAATAAACAAAAAGAATGGGAAAGAGATGATTTAATTATTTTTTTTATTGTTTGATTGTGCTAGATCGCAAACCAAGTCAGGAATGATTTTCTTTGATTTTATTACACCATTTGGATTTAATTTTTTTTAAAATACATCACATTTTCTCATCTGCAGTAATATCGAAGTTAAGTTTTAAATTAAATTTTAAATTTAGACTCAGTTGTAAGAGATCAGAGTTAAATTTTAAACATAGGCCTACTGCAAATTTAACTCGAAAGCTGGGTTGGAAAATTTTTAATGTAATTCTGTAATTATTTTTCTATATTTACAACAGCAACAAAATTTAAAATATAATCAGCTGAGTTTAAAAAAATTCTTCACCTGCTAAAACCTTATAAAATACTAGAATTTACGTTTCGCGAGACACCGTATTTGATCTGATAAGCCATTTTTAAAAATCCATTTTAAATGAGGCTTCTGGTTAGAAATTAATTAAGGGACAATCATTATGTTTTGTGAACTAAAAATATCTACATCACATGGCTGACCCAATCACTTTGTTGAGTGGACTAAAAATGTGAGCCAATCATTCTGTTTTGTGAACTAAAAATATCTATAACACATTACTGACCCAATTACAAAGTTGAGTGGACTAAAAATATCTACATCACGTTACTGACCTAATTACAAAGTTGAGTGGACTAGAAATGTGAGCCAATCATTCTGTTTTGTGAACTAAAAATATCTACAGCACATTACTGACCCAATTACAAAGTTGAGTGGCCGAAAAATGTGAGCCAATCATTCTGTTTTGTGAACTAAAAATATCTACAGCACATTACTGACCCAATCACTTTGTTGAGTGGACTAAAAATGTGAGCCAATCATTATGTTTTGTGAGCTAAAAATATCTACATCACATGGCTGACCCAATCACTTTGTTGAGTGGACTAAAAATGTGAGCCAATCATTCTGTTTTGTGAACTAAAAATATCTATAACACATTACTGACCCAATCACTTTGTTGAGTGGACTAAAAATGTGAGCCAATCATTATGTTTTGTGAACTAAAAATATCTACATCACATGGCTGACCCAATCACTTTGTTGAGTGGACTAAAAATGTGAGCCAATCATTCTGTTTTGTGAACTAAAAATATCTATAACACATTACTGACCCGACACAAAGTTGAGTGGACTAAAAATATCTACATCACGTTACTGACCCGACACAAAGTTGAGTGGACTAAAAATATCTACATCACATTACTGACCTAATTACAAAGTTGAGTGGACTAAAAATGTGAGCCAATCATTATGTTTTGTGAACTAAAAATATCTACAGCACATTACTGACCCAATTACAAAGTTGAGTGGACTAAAAATATCCACATCACATGGCTGAGCAGACGATCTACCCCGCTGTGCCTGTCGAGTGCTGTAAGGTTTCCATCTCTTCAAATTTCCCGCCATTACCGCAGGAACTTAGGAAACAACAACTCACCGTCTGCTTGTACTTCCGCTTATAACGCGTATGATTTCAATACCGCCATTTTTCTATTTTAATTTTTGCTCCTCTGATTTAATTGTCGACACATTATTTCTTATTTAAAGCCCCGCTTTTAGTGCGATATTGATTATTTTTTCTCCATTACGGAATACGAACAGCTGTTTCTGTGAGCCAATGTATTTCTTACATCTTATTTCTCACTAATTTTAACGCTTGAAACGGTGTTGGTCTCTAAATGTCTCGCTGGATAAATGACAAAAACAATAAAAATATATTTTGTTTTACAAGTTGTTTTTTTTTAATAGCAGATGGTATTAAATTAGCCGAATTATGTTTTTAATTGCAAATATAAACAGTGATTTAAAAATTTAAATACTTTGTTTTTAAAACACAAATTGTTTAAAGATACAATTTACGTATTTTGGATCACCTGCTGAAGAACGGCCAATTCTAACTGACGTCATCAAGATTATCACGGTTGTTGTTTTTATATTGATTAGTCTGATGTTGTTTCACAACGTAAGTCCTTCCGCTGTCGTTAGCGGATATGGGATAACTAGCCGGATTAAGGGAGAGATTACATTCTATTGTTGCTGTATTGTTTCCACCAAACTGATTGACGTTCCCAAAGTGTACCGGAAACTAAAGGAGGGAGGGAATGTGGGTTAATCGCTCTTCTGTCGCGGAGAATAGAAAAATAGACTCTAATGTTGGCGTTTAAAGTTGGATGGAAAGCTGATGAGGAAATAAATCTTAGCCAGCTTGTTGAGATTAAGTTTAAGCGAATTGGTTTTCAGCTTTCGATTTAGAAAAAAAAACCTTGAACTGGTTTTATTTAGTTTTAAACTTTTTTTAGAACTTTGAATTTCCAGACTATACATCATGTTATTTTTACATCGAAGTCATTACGTCACCATGATAAAAATATTATAAATGAAACTCAAATAGAGTAAGAAGACTATTAAGGAAACATTTAATTATACCATCTTTGATGTGTGTTGGCGTTTTATTCAATCAAAAATCTCAAAATAAATTTGTTAATATTTTTAAGTTAGTCTTTTTCGTCCGAAAAGTAATATTTTTTTTTAATAAGCTGTAGAAAATTGAAGTCAAATTTAAGCACTACGTGTTCTAAATGTAACATCACAGCGACAGAGGCGTAGCGACCCTTCCCGGCGCCCGGGGACAAACTTTTCGATTTGAACCCTCCCTCAAGCTTTTGATTTGCACCCCCCCCCCTCGAGATTTCCATTTGCACCCCTCCCCCTCTCAAACTTTTGATGTGCACCCCCCCCCTCGAGATTTCCATTTGCACCCCGCCCTCAAACTTTCAATTTATTTTTCCAACCCATTTTGGCGCCCCCTAAGGTCTGCACCCGGGGACATATGTCGTCCCCCCCGCCCCCCCCCCCCTCGCTACGCTACTGCACAGCGACACTCTGAGCCACACGACTAAGCAATAAACGACTTGCTCGCTGTTTCCTTTGTCAAACTAAATCAAGACACGTTAAAGCCTCCGTTTATTTCCCACGACGGTTGCATTTGTTGACATAGACATTCACACAATAATTTCAAACGTTGTGGTCTATGAGCCAGTTTTTGTCTAATTTAACATTTTGTTTAGTAAAACATATCAATGTAACGTGCAAGCTACCGTTTGTTTTTCTATAATATCTTACAGATGACAACTTACACTTGCTTATTATACAGATGTGTAAAAAATTCATAATGAAAGCTTAAAATTCCTCTTATTTAAAAAAATCGCCAAGTTTATATTCACACATTTACACATACTTATTTTCTCACACACATACGTATCATTTTTAAAACAATTTTTAATTTCTACAACATATATATTACTAGTAGTAATCCATCCGCTATGACGATTCTCATTCCTATAAAAATGCATATCTTTTTCACAAATAATTTGTAACATTTTCATAGCATATAACTCCTATGAAACATATTTCCACTAACGAAACAATTCCACAAACTAAACGTTTCCACACAATTAACAATTCTACAAAGTTAACAATTCCACAAGCTAAACAGTTCACACAAAGTTAACACAAGTAAATATTTCGAAAAACGCTGTTCATATTTCTAATAACATTCATTACATTTTGAAAACACACACCAACAAACTTCAACAAGAAAACACTTTTACACTTTTACACTTGTCTACGCGGCACAACTCTTAAGTATCGGTTATTTTTAGCTTTAAGGTGAAATGAAATTTTTCTAGTTCACTCACTGGAAAATGGTAATTTACGCGTGCACCAGTTTCTCGGTTAGAAACTAACCCCCCCTCCCCCACCCCACCCCCATCACTTGCTACAGATTTAGTGCTATAATTTCCATGGATCTCTCGTCCGTGGAGATTTAGTTTTATGGACAGGGAGGCACCAACATTGAAACCAGATAGGATTCACACAAGAACATTGGTTTTTATACTCCTCCTTCAAGAGTCTGTTTATTTTATCAGTTGTATACGCGCTAGATACGACATACATTTTCCCAATTTTTTTGTAACCTAATGTTCAGATCAAGTTAGTTCTGGATAGCACATTAAGTGTTTATTTTGTGGTAACGACTTGATGTAGAGTGTTTCTAATAGTGAAAGGCGTTCAAGTGATAATGTGTAGGGTGGGGAAGATTGTGTGTGTTGTGTGTGTGGGGGGGGGGGGGGTGAGGGGTGGTATAGCGCTGCTCCACACACAAGGGTGTACTAAAGTTTTTGGACTGAGAGAAATGAAAACACCAGCCATAATTTTGAAAGGGGCGATAGAGGTGGGGGGTGGGGGGGGGGGTCTTGAAAATTCACCATAATAAATAACCTCGATAGTTTGTTGATTCGTTAGCCTAGGGTTTTGTCCCCCCCCCCCCAACCCACTGACTAGGGTTTTGTCCAACAGTTGACCCCTACCCCCCCACTGACTAGGGTTTGTTCAACAGTTGACTCCCCCCCCCACTGACTGGGTTTTGTCCAAAAGTTAACCCTCACCCCCCACGCACTGACTAGGGTTTTGTCGAACAGTTGACCCCCCACTGACTAGAGTTTTGCCCAACAGTTGACCCCTCCCCCACTGACTAGAGTTTTGTCCAACAGTTGACCCCCCCCCCCACTGACTAGAGTTTTGTCCAACAGTTGACCCCTACCCCCCCACTGACTAGGGTTTGTTCAACAGTTGACTCCCCCCCCCCCACTGACTGGGTTTTGTCCAAAAGTTAACCCTCACCCCCCCCCCCCACTGACTAGGGTTTTGTCCAACAGTTGACCCCTCCCCCACTGACTAGAGTTTTGTCCAACAGTTGACCCCCCCCCCCAGTGACTAGGGTTTTGTCCTACTGTTGACCCCCCCCCCCCCCCCACTGACTAGGGTTTTGTCCAACAGTTGACCCCCCCCCCCACACTGACTAGGGTTTTGTCCTACAGTTGACCCCCCCCCCCACTGACTAGGGTTTTGTCCAACAGTTGACCCCCCCCCCCCACTGACTAGGGTTTTGTCCAACAGTTGACCCCCCCCCCCCACTGACTAGGGTTTTGTCCAACAGTTGACCCCCCCCCCACTGACTAGGGTTTTGTCCAACAGTTGACCCCCCCCCCCCCCCACTGACTAGGGTTTTGTCCAACAGTTGACCCCCCACCCACTGACTAGGGTTTTGTACAACAGTTGACCCCCCCCCTTCACTGACTAGGGTTTTGTCCAACAGTTGACCCCCCCCCACTGACTAGGGTTTTGTCCAACAGTTGACCCCCCCCCACCCACTGACTAGGGTTTTGTCCAACAGTTGACCCCTCCCCCCCTCCCCCACTGACTAGGGTTTGTTCATTAACTAATGATCCGTTGACAAGAAGTCATTATATTAGTTGATCACCTATAGACTTGGGTCGGTCCAACACCTACAACCATCACTACATGGTGCTGGACTTCAGTTTGTGATTAATTGTTTGTTTCAATGGTGAGCATTGAACTACGCGAGTTGAACTCACGTGACGAACTGGCAGTGTCACGTGACACGGATAATCTGCCGTGAGTGGCTGAAGGGGAAACAAGCGAAAACTGGGGAAAATAACCGCTTATTATTTGGAGGGCTGTTTCTCTTCTGTAGATATGATGCTTCACGTGTCTTGACAACTAGATTCACCCCCCCCCCCCCCCCCCTCACCATGCCCACCCACCCAGTTCACTATTCCCAAGGACGCAGCCTTGTCCTGACCAACATAAAAAGTTACTTTTAGTGTTGATATCACGTGGTACCCCGTAGCGTCGTGAGCGAGAGCAAGGGAAAAAGTGGGGCGAATCCGCCGCTGAACTGAGTTTAAAGAACAAAAGGGTTAAAAAGCTCATAACCCATGCGTGAATAAAAACTTTAACGTGTTCTCCAGTCTCACGATCGAAACACAAACAGTGAAAAAATGTGTGGGTTCACTATACTCTTGTGCCTGAAATACGACTTACACGGTTTAAGGTTAAAGGTGTCTGGTGATGTTTGTTGATGTTTAACACAAAATAACACGTTAAAAACGTGAAGTTATTTTTTATTCCGTGTGGTAATCTTCGTGTGTGTGGTCAGCCGAATAGAAACATCTGATTAGCTAGTTTAAGATGTTAGTGCTGTTACAGATCAGTGTTTCTTCCAGACTGTTTTTCTCTGTGGGAGGAGGGGGCACTTGAAATTTTCGGGGGTGGGGGCGGAATAAAATGTTTCGCGGGGGGGGGGGGGAGGAGGGGGTGCGGACATTGTTAAAAGTATATATTCTCTATATAAATTCCATTTCGTTCGGGAGCCCCCCCCCCCCCCCCCCACCTCCGAAAAGATGCCTGGAAGAAACTCTGTTACCGATGTAGCCTATCAAGTAATAGTACGGGGTGGTTAACACAGGAAGATGTTTGTCTACTGATTGTGGTAGGAGAATGGGAAATGGTCGAATACAATGTGGGACTGATAGATAGTGATTGGATATTGCATTAAGTAGTGCGTCTAACCTAGACCAAGTTATTCAATTTGTTGTTTAAAACCATTTAAACCTATATAGCATCCTAAAAATGAAATGTTTTTTTTTTCTATCGTTTCAGTGCCGCAGAGATCGAAAGACTCGGGAACATGAAAGCCAGTATACAACACAGCTACCTGTGGGTGGTCTTCGCCTTGGGCTTCCCCGGAAACATCTTCTGCATCATCACCGTGCTGTCCATGCAGACGATGACCCCGGCCACGTTCTTCGTGTCGCTGTTGGCGCTCTGCGACGGCGCCACCATCTTGGTGAAAATCATCTTCCAACAGCTGGCATTAAACCAGGTCCCTATCGGCACCGTCGGCTGCAAGATGAGGTTCCTCCCCATGTTCCTCTCCCTCCTGGCCAACTGGGTGCTTGTGCTCATCTGTGCGGAACGGTTCGTATCGGTGTGTTTCCCGCTGAAGAAAGCCTACATCATCACCAAGAGGCGGAGCTACATCATCACGGCCATACTGTCGACGGTCCTGTTCCTAGGCATGTCGTGTCTCTTCAGCCTGATGTGGGACAGCGACGAGACTGGCGTCATGTGCGGCACACACGAGGAGTACTACGACTTCTGGACCCGCTGGTGGTACTGGATCAACGCCTTCCTACTCATCTTCATCCCATTCGTCTTCATCGTCATCTTCACCGCACTCATCGTCCGTGGACTCATGCGATCCCGCCACGACAGACGCTCCATCATGCGGCACAGCTCAAAAGGTCAAGACGGCAACCGGCGTCTGATAGAGGAAGCAGAACGTCTCGAGAGAAGCATCACCATAATGCTCATCTTCGCCGCCGTCATCTTTCTCCTCTTGACTCTGCCCGCTTGTATATTCATCCTCGGATACAAGGAAAGCAAAGATCAGCTGGTCGAGCAACAGTGGCAGCTGTTCGAACAGATACAATACGTGCTGATCGACTCCTCCCACGCCATCAACTTTTTCCTCTACTTCCTCAGCGCCCAGAGGTTCCGCCATCAGTTTTTTAACATACTCCGGTGTAGGCGATGGCGAGCAACCAATCGTAAGTCTCGTTGCATTGAGGTCTCGGTTACCAAATACACCATAGCACGCTCGAATGAGGACGTGAGTCAGGTGTGACCGTGAATACACGAAGCTTTACGTTAGGCCGACGGCTGCCTTAAGTTCACTACTAATGATTTCACTTGTGTATAAAAGTTATAACCCGAACAGGCACTGTTTTATAATAGAAATTAAGCTTTCGTGCTTTTGATTTTTTTTGTTGAATTAATATCGCATTAATGTCACCCCCTTAAAAACCTTAGTTAAGCTTTTATTATGCTAAACATCATTTGAGAGATTCAGTTTAAATTTTCCCCGCTTTGAATCTTAATTATAAAGTGAAGTTTTATGTAATAAAAAGAACGCTGCCTATGTGTACAAGTAGTGTTATGTGTTTAAAATGTGCAACCGCGAGTTTTTAGCTTTGTCTGGGTTTTATAAGATGGGAATCAATTATTTACATAAACGCTCGTTAATGTTTACATTTTTCTTATCAATAAAATCAAAACACTATTTTACAAAATCTACAAAATATTTCCTCAACCTTGCTGGGTGTAAAATGTTTACAGCCTCTAGATCTGCATGTGAAACACCACTAACCTAGCTGTGCTACTTTACCTTAGTTTTTATCTCCATCCAACTAACATAACCTGGCATGTTGATTTCTTCTTCTTCTCGTTCTTTAGGGTTCATTCTGGTCTAGGGACCTGCTGTATTTATTGCTAGAAAGTGTTTGTTGATGATAGAAAGAAACATTACATTATTCTTGGAAAATACTAAAACCATTCTTACATAAAAGTTATAACGACTGCATGTTTTCAGTACTAACAATATTTCTTTTTAATGGATTTTAAGAACAAGTCGAAAGCATTGTATTTCTAAATTTATAAACAGGAAAACTAAAATGAACTGGACATTTTGTACACGCGTAAAATGGAATTAAGTTCTAATTTTAATGTTGTGCTAATGGATCTCAAGCATGATTGGATACCAAAATATCAGTCATATTGCTTGGAAATACTGGTGTTTCAAGTTTTGTTTAATATCTAAAAACGAAGACGGTGTTAAAAAATATCAAAAAGTATTTCCTGCTTTCAACGGCCACGTTAATTCCTATCGTGAGAAAATCTAAACATGGAATGACAAACAGGAACTGAAACATTTCGGCGAGACGCTGCTCTTGTCATCCTTATATTACATATCGAGAAAGGCATTCAGAACATATCCGCTCAATAATTCGTTAATCTCTGGATAATTAATCCTGATTAATGTTCCGTGACAGGGTGTAAGTGAAGAGTCATGGATCATTTCTGAGAAATAAAAAGGAGTTCATCTCTTGCACGAGGCTGTGATACATATTTTTAATATATAATATTATATGTATATATATATATATATATATATATATATATATATATATATATATATATATAATGTATGTATATATATATTTGTGTGTGTTTGTATATGTGTGTAATGAATAGTTTTCTAATAATGAACTTCACTCTAAACAAATTTGACCCAGATATACCCACATGTAGACCTACAACATTCCACATCATCTCATACTACAGGTTCAGTACCTGGGTGCCCCGTATCCTTAAAAACATCCACTCACACTATCAGTGTAGTACCTGAATGCCCCATACCTCTCCACATACACACATACATCACATATCAGTGTAGTACCTGAATGCCCCATACCTCTCCACATACACACATACATCACATATCAGTGTAGAGCCTGGGTGCCCCATACCTCTCCACAAACCCACATACATCACATATCAGTGTAGTACCTGAATGCCCCATACCTCTCCACATACACACATACATCACATATCAGTGTAGAACCTGGGTGCCCCATACCTCTCCACAAACCCACATACATCACATATCAGTGTAGTACCTGAATGCCCCATACCTCTCCACATACACACATACATCACATATCAGTGTAGTAGCTGAGTGCCCCATACCTCTACACACATCACCTCACACTATCAGTGTAGTACCTGAATGCCCCATACCTCTCCACATACACACATACATCGCATATCAGTGTAGAACCTGGGTGCCCCAAACTCTACACACATCACCTCACACTATCAGTGTAGTAGCTGGGTGCCCCATACCTCTCCACATACACACATACATACATCACATATCAGTGTAGAACCTGGGTACCCCACACTCTACACACATCACCTCACATATCAGTGTAGAACCTGGGTGCCCCATACCTCTACACACATCACCTCACACTATCAGTGTACTAGCTGGATGCCCCATACCTCTACACACATCACCTCACACTATCAGTGTAGTAGCTGGGTGCCCCATGCCTCTCCATATACACACATACATCACATATCAGTGTAGAACATGGGTGCCCCATACCTCTACACACATCACCTCACACTATCAGTGTAATAGCTGGGTGACCCATACCTCTAAACACACATTGATATTTTCTCCCACAATGTGTTTTCTTCTAAATCCAAAGCACCAATAAGATGTAGAGTTACCTTGTTCTATATCTAAACCATATATATCACACGGTGAGCTGTACTTGTTTGTCGTGAATAAATAATGAAACTGACGCATGGACACAGTTCACCGCTGTAGATGGGGGTTTATTGTTTCTTGATATTCCTTCCTCGCGGTATTTTATGGGGAAATGTCAAATTATTGATTGGACTTGTAAAAATATGATGATACGTAAACCAATAAAGCCGTTAATTAGTTCAATGAGGCGAGATTCAATTAGCAATATATTTAAGCGAACATTTTATAAAGAGGAGATACCGCGACATATATTGTGGCTCTTTCACACGACAATCAGGTGCTTTGTGGCTAAAATGTTTAAAGATGTCTATCGTTTTGAAACAGTTAAAATAAAATACAACCTTTTTTCGTGTTTGGTTTTGTTTTTAAAAGCAATACGAGGAGTAAAAATGTGTAAATGTGATCCTTACATCGTACAAAGTAATCGTACTGAAGCAGAGTATTCAATAGTTAAATATGTTTTGTATGTGACTTAACTATAAAACATGACAATATATTTAGATGTGCCAAAAACAAATATCTTGCTATGCGTGTATTGTGTATTTGTGTTTTAAAATTGTTTTTCGTAAGTCTTGAGGTACCACTCTAGCATATCCTAATAATTACTCTCGTGTAGATAGACAAAACAAAAAGTTCTAGTTTGTGTGGTTTTGTCTGTGTGAATGTTTGAATTAAGTCAGTTTTACATTCCAAACTAGTTTATGTTCTAAAGTGGAGTTATGATGCTGTATGATGCTACTGCCTGAAGTAACATCAATATGTGGCATCACGTTAATCCAATAAGGCGTTATTCATATCTTGTATGTATAGCTCATTGTGAACACATTTATCATGTTTGTACTATTGGATATTTTGTTTTGAATTATTTAAGGAAGTTGACGGAATAAAAATCTTGAATATGTTTAGACGCGGTGGCTTGTAAAGTCCAGACGATTTTATAGTAATTAAATTGCAAGCCATCTTATTTATACAGTTCTATATTGAACACTTTAAACACACACCTTTGGAATTAGCGCCCTGGGCTATGTTCAAGGTGGAAGAAACCTTTGATAGTTATTTAGTTCTACTGAAGCCATCTTGGTATCCTTTTAGGACAGACTTAATTATTTTTAAAATCTGTCTAAAGATTTTTCCGAAAATATTTTGTTTGCAAAATAAATTAAAATAAAGAGACCTTGTTTTGTTTTTAGTACCGCTTATATGCTACTATTAGAAGCTGGCAGGACATTGACCCTTGGAGTACTATAGGTCATGGTCCACAAACATCCATAATTCATCTGTATTATATTCCTCATACATTGAATGTTCTTCGTGCTCATCTAGGTTACGAGGAATATATATATATATATATATATATATATATATATATATATATATATATATATATATATATATATATATATATATCATGCTCATTGTACCATCATATATATTTTGAAATCCAATATCACAATGCTATCAAATAGTTTGATGATACGAATTCAGTGCATGTAAAATATTTTGTGAATGATATTTGTTACGATTACCATGTTATTTAAAAAACCTAATGAAAAATAGTTAGCATGTTGGTTATCTATTCGTCATTGTTAATTGCTTCGGGTATGTTGTTGTTTCTGTTTGATTATTGCCTTCTCCATTAGATGAACTCAGCTGTTTCACCGTTTCATTCATCTCTCGTGTTATCTGTTTGTTGTACCAATAAACAAACATTGTATCATTGAACGTGTTCTGCTTTGTTGTTTATTCTGTAGAGGTTGTTACACTCTCATTATTGGTAGTATTATCTGGGGTCAATCAAGCTAACATGATACACCATGACCTTGAGATTCTTGTATCACAAGGGCGCGTATTTTATATTAAAAGGACGTCTGGCATATAACAAGGGAACAGTCACTACATTATCACCAAGGGCTCGGGACTATTATATCACTATTGACCTTTGTTATAACACAAGGACTTGCTACCATTATATCACAAGAGGCATGTGACCATTGTATCACTTGGGACTTGGGACTGTTTATATCTCAAGGGGCCAGTAACGATCTGATAAGCAGAGACCTGTGGCCTCTAGTTTACAAGACGTTTTTTTGTCTTGATATTTCTAAAAGACATTTTATGTCACCCAAACAGTACCCCTGTAGTGGCAGGCTCACCTCCCCCTCTCCCACTTCTATTCGCCACTGGTCTCTGCTTGAAGATCATGTTGTTCGTATATGTTGTCACACACAGGGTTAATGAATTGTGTGGCGTCGCTAGGCAACAGCTCGAGGGAGGAACATGAGCTGTCTTGTCTGTATGTCTTGTATGTATGTCTTGTCTGTATGTGTCTGTCTTGTCTGTATGTCTTGTCTGTATGTCTTGTATGTGTCTGTATTGTCTGTATGTCTTGTCTGTATGTCTTGTATGTGTCTGTATTGTCTGTATGTCTTGTCTGTATGTGTCTGTCTTGTCTGTATGTGTCTGTATTGTCTGTATGTCTTGTCTGTATGTCTTGTATATGTCTGTATTGTCTGTATGTCTTGTCTGTATCTGTATGT